TCCACTCACCTCAGCCTCCCAAAGGCGCGGGATTACAGGCTGAACCACCGAGCCCGGTTATTATTCTTTAATCATCTCTAATAATACTTAATTATCAGATGAAGGATCTGAGATTCATAGAAAGAACTCACATTGTTTCAGTTTCTTTTACATTTTTTAAAATTTTCCTTCTGTGTGTATGTCTGTACTTGCCTGTGTGTGTGTGTTATCCATTACAGGAACATCATGTGCAGTAGAGTGGAACATGACTATTTGTGACAGGCAGAAGACAAAATAATTGGTGTGGCTGAGTTAGGGAATAGAAGAGTAGAAAACCAGGGGGGAAAGAGCCTGAATACTACCTCTAGGAGTCAGTGGCTCTGAAGGGATGTGAGTGAGCTATTGAGAGGCAATGGACTGCAAATCTTTGTTGTACCCCCATTTCCCACATCCCAACACAAAACAGGTGTTGGCAAATTCTTTTTTTGCAGCAAAGGTAAGTTAGTAAATATCTTAAGTATTGTGGGCCACACAACGTCTGTGGCATCTACTCATCTCTGCTGTAGCAGTAATAAAGCAGCTATACACCCTATTTATATATTTTAATGAGTGTGGTTATATTCTAAAAACAAAAACCAGGTAAATAAAAAAATTTATAAAAACAATCAGCTGCCTAGATTTGGTCTGTGGACTTAGTTTACAGGTCCCTGCTCTAAAAGTTAGAGTATGAATAATGTATTTAAATTGCTTCAACCCTTTGTTTCATATGAGATTTAGACCGCTTGAAAATTATACCATTTCTTCGAAGACCTACATTTTTTTTTTTTTCCTGAGTCAGAGTCTTACTCTGTCACTCAGGCTGGAGTGCAGTGGTGCAATCACAGCTCGCCTCAGCCTTGACCTTCTGGCCTCAGGAGATCCTTTCCACCTCAGCCTACCCGTGTAGCTGGGACTACAGGCATGCAAAACCATGCTTGCCTAATTTTATTTATTTATTTATTTTTGTAGAGAGAAGGTTTCACCCTGTTGCCAAGGTTGGTCTTGAACTCCTGGACTCAAACATTCCTCTCTTCTCAACCTCCCAATATACAAGGATTACAGGAATGTGCTGCTGCACCTGGTCATGACCCACACTCTTAACAGCATAAATTCTCTAGAATTTTTTGAAATATTAAATCAGCTTCTTACTTCAAATTCTCTCCCCTGATTTTCTTGTTCTTCTAACCTATATGCCCCACTGTCTTTCCTCCTTTACTTTACAATCTAGTGTCCCTAGATGTTTCTACTCTATTGCCAGAGCTACCAATTCCTTTGTCCATTTATCATCCAGACACACCTGCTTTGCTAACCTCTGCAAATAAAAGAAACTAACCCATTATATCTCTGCACCTGGTGCCCTTGCACCTAGTACTTCGAGTAAATTATGAACTATTGCATAAGCAAGCTTGTAGTTTTCAAATTCACAGTTTTCATTTCACAGGATATCTTAAACAACTTGCTATTCATTTTATTTGACCTTTAAAGGTTGATGCCTTTCAGATCCTACTCCACTTTGACATCAAATCTTTGTTCTTTGTTCCATATTTCCCATCATAATATAACTTCTTCACTTCTAAGCAAGGGACCTTGCTCTTTAGCTTAGAAAGTAATCTCAAAACTTCTTGTTCCCAGTTTCACTTTTATTTACTTCTCAAAAGAATTTTTCCCCCAAGGCAACTCTCTCATTATTTCTTATTGTTTTCTGTGACTCTTTCCTCCTCCTTTCTCTCTACTGATACTTCTTCAGATTAACAAATTATCCAAGAAGAAAGAAATATCTTCATTAGTCCTAAGCCTCCCCACCAAGAGCTACTACCTTCTTTTTTCTTTAAAAATCTGAAAAAAGACTTTTATACTTTTTGCCTTCTTTTAATTTCTAAACCCATTGAAGACTGATTGCAATCAGTACTGTTTTTATAAATGTTTTAACGGTGAGCTGACCACTTAAATGTAAATGCATATTAATCAACTTTCTTGATCGTTGTATGTATCTTCCATTGTTGAATTTCCCCCTATTTTTAACTTTCTCTTCTTTTGTAGTATTACCTGGTCTCCTGACTCTTTGCTGTTTTTTTAGTCTCCTGTTATTTTCTTCACTTGCCTGTTAATAAAATATTTGAACTTTCTCAGGATTTTACTCCTGAGTTAACATATTATCCAACTATTCATATATTATTCCATCCATTGCTGTGGTTATTCAATTAGGTCTAGCCTTGGACTTTACATGCAAATGGTTAAGAAATATCTGATGAATGAGCAGATGATTAAATGATGATAGTATCTGGTGATATGTAATAATGTATTACGTTCATAGAATTGTATACAACTACATGCCAGATTTACCACTTATGTTGTCCTCCCTACTTTTCTTTTTTGTCATATTCCCTCAAAACTATCTGTTTTCTCCTGTCTTTAAAATTCATAATAGTTATTTTGCAAGCATGTTTTCAATGTAGAGTCCGGAGTCTCTCCACATTTGTCTTACTGCATATTCTTGGAAGCAAAACAATGACACACTTTTTAAAAAATGATTTACTACTATTATATGAGAGAAGGAAAATTTTGAAAACATAGAAATTTACTCATTTAATTTTTGTTAGTCAAATCAATATTTTTCTCTTCTTATACTATAGACATCAAGGTATAATCATTAGATATGTGTGTAAATTTGGCAGGCCTACTTATGTAAATATAGTGATTTCTAGGAGTCAGGTATTTAAAATTTAAGAATATGTTCACATACACATCACCATCAACTTGTACAAATAAGTAAAAGTTTTCAAAAGTTTTATTTAAAATGTACAATGATTAAACATATTCTCTATTAAAATGGAGTAATAATAAGACTATATGCTTGTAGAAATGTAGAGACATGGATAAAAAAATAATGCCCACTCAATAGATACTCTACTAAAATGACTTGATGTGTGCTACTCCTAACAATGAAAAAAAGATTTGTGCATCTTTTTATTGCTAGTATAATCAACATATTGCATGCATTGCTTTTATTATATATAAATTATTTGGTATTACAAAAACTGTCTGATATTGTATATTTTCCATATATTTGTGATTATCATAATCTACATAATTACTATTAATCATGTCTACATTTAAAATGTATAATATCATATATTATAATGCAATAACATTAAAATAGTGTATGAAACACATCTAACTTTAATATTTTTCTTTATTTACAAAATATACTAGAAAACATTCATTAAAAATTTCTATATTACTGAAAACCTCTATGACACTTATTTTAATGTATTACTTAAGTATTTTAAAAGTAACTTCAGGTCAGACTTGGTGGCTGAGCCTGTAATTCCAGCACTTTGGGAGGCTGAGGCAAGTGGATTTGCCTGAGCCTGAGGGTTCGAGACTAGCCCGGACGACTTGATGAGACCTCGTTTCTACAGTAAATCAAAAAAAAAATTAGCTCGGCATAGTGATGTGTGCCTGTAGTTCTGGCTATTTGGAAGACTGAGGTGGAAGGAAAGCGCGAGTGGGGTGGCCGTGAGCATGCCACTAGACTCCAGCCTGGGCAACAGAGTGAGACTTCAACTCACACACACACAAAAAGTAACTTCAGAAATTTATTTCTATGAAGAGAGTTAATTATTGGGTTCAGCTATTTGCTATAATCCACAAGACAAATGTTTTTTTTAAAAATTTAGATTTTACTTATCGTCAAAATAATGACATAATTAATCATTATGACAAGACTATTATTTAAAACATCAAAATGTTAAAGCACTCTTTTAAAAATCATCTCTTAGATATAAGCATATTTTTCATATTTGTGATATTCTGTTGCCACCAAGATTTCATTTTATCTTTTTCCAAACTATAAAATATGTTATACCTTTTAGCATAAATTTTCAACATGGTCACTAAAATAAACAAAAAACAAAATACAAGTGAAAGGCACCTTGAAGCGTAAGTTGTTTGGACAGCTTTGGTGTAATATCAATTCCATTCTTCAGCCAGCCAAGCTGAGGGTTTGGTATGCCCTCTGCGTGGCACCTAAGACTTGCAGTTACCCCAGGCTCTCTAGCCTGACTTTCTGGATATACCCGGATGACTGGAGGAACTAAAAGAAGAAATGAAAAAGATAGTGAATTAGTGATTCATATCCACCATTTGCTTTTCCAAAACAAATTAAAATTGCAATATGGGAAATTACAAATTATGTAAAAATGATGTAACATATTTCTACAGGTCTTAGTTTCCAAATACCATTAACTACTGAAATGTACGAGTGTTACTTAGATGAAGGATATTCTGGGACTGTGCCAGGGAAATCATATGATGAGCCTGAGATATCTTGTTTCAGAAATTAAAGACCTCAGAGAATGATGAGACATACCAAAAGGATACAGAAACCAGTTCAAAGAGGCTCCAATTGGCCAAATATGAAACAATCTGAGTACTAAAATAATTAGCAATTATAAAGGAGTATAAGGAACTAAAAAAACATAATGAATTTATAATGAAAGATAAAGGAAATATTTTATTTACCATAGAATGATAGGAAACTAAGATAATTCCACCCATAATAGTATCCAAAAAATAAATATTTAGAAATAACTTTCATCAAAGAGATACAAGACTTTCACACTGAACACTAAGAAACATTATTTTTAAAATTTTAAAGAAATTCTAAATAAAAATTTATTTTTTGTTCCTAAATTGAAAAGAATGGTAAGATAGTAAGAATTGGTAACAATTATTGTTAAATGGCAAGACTCCCAAACTGATTTACAGATACAATAAGATTTTTATCAAAATTCTGTATTTTTTAAATTTTAGAAATGAAGGAGCTGAGTCTCAGATTCACATGGAATTACAAGAGACTCCAAATAGCCAAAAAATAATGAAAAAGAACCAACCTGGAGGATTTATACCTGCTGATTTCAAAACATGCAACGAAGCTACAATTATCAAAGCAGTGCAAGACTGACACAATGATAGAATAAAGTTGACAGTACAGAAATAAACATAGATTTATGGTCATTTTTCACAGGGATGCCAAAAACTATATTTTCTAAGAAGTTTGGGACAATTGGATAACCATATGCAAGAAAATAAGCTTGTATTCCAACCATTCACCGTACACAATAAAACCTTTAGGAAAAAACTTAAGGAAAATCTTTCTGACCTTGTATTTAACAATGACCCCCCTCCAAAAACACAAGTAATATAACAGCAACAGAATTAATAACTTACATTTCATCAAAATTAAATTTTTGGCACATCAGAGAACAGTATCAAAAAAATATAAACAGAACTCATAGTATAGGAAAAATATATTTGTAAATTATATCTGATTCATAATATATGTTACAAATCAGCAACTTAAAAGCAAACAACTTAATTAACATTTGGGACAAAAAACTTGAATAGCCAATTCTCCACAGAAAACATGAGAAAGTCGATGTCAAGAATAAAAAAAAAAAGTTGAAAAAAAGAATGCAAATCAAAACTACTATGTGATACCACTTGTCTACTTTAAAACAAACAAACAAAAAAACCCCAAAAATGACATGTGATGTTAAGGTTGTAGGAAACAGGAACTCTTGCACATTGTTCATGGAAACTTAAATAATACAGAAATGCTATAAAAAGAAAGAAAGCACTAAATACAACTCTACAACACAGTTATTGAAGGTGTTATTATGAATGTAAGAAGTCTAACATAAAAGGCCACATATTATGAGCCCATTTATACGAAATGCCTAATCCATCCAGATAGAGAGCAGATTAGTGGTTTTTAGGGACTGAGGAGAGGAGAAATGAGGAGTGACTGCTGAATGGATATGAAGTTTATTTGGGAGGTGAGGAAAGAGCTCTAGGGTTAGATAGCGCACAACATTGTGTATCTTAATAAAAAAAAGATGAAGAAAGATCGAAGAAAAATTCTAAATTAAAAAAGACTAAAGATTCATGATAACTAAATGCAATGTATAAATCAACTGGGTTCTGGACTAGGAAAGATAAACTAAAAAGCATATTACTGAGAAAATTTACAAAATTTAAATGAGGTCTGTACATTAATTAGATAATGAGATTCTGTTAATGGTATATTTCCTGATTTGGCAATTACATTTTTATTAGCTAAAATAATTTTCTTTACAAAGATACTCATCGAATTAACTAGCAATAAAAAGAAAAGAAAAATTATCTAAAACTTATTCTCAAATACACACACACACACACACACACACACACACACACACACACACACGCACACACACACACACACACATAACATTATTGATATGCCTCTTTTTGTTTTTTGAGTTGTGGGTCTCACTCTGTCACCCAGATAAGGTGATAAGGTTTGACCACAGTCTCGACCTCCTGGGCTCAGGTGATCCTTCTGTCTCAGTCTCCAAAGTAGCTGGGACTATGGGACCACAAGCGTGCACCACCATGCTTGGATAATTTTTGTTTTTTTCTTGCTAGAGATGAGATCTTGCTATGGTGCCTAGGTTAGTCTCTAACTTGTGAGTTCTAGCAATTCTCCCACCTTTGTCTCTCAAAGTGCTGAGATTACAGGCATGAGTCACTGCATTTCAAAAATGAGATGATTTCAACAAAGTATGAGATATAACTAAAAAGAGAATCAATAGTTAAAATTGAGATTTGGGTGAGTTGAGGATGTTTGGCTTCCAGTAATGCTGAAAACTTGATTCTGATTGACTCTGATCAATTATCTTTCTGATTAGAAATTAAAATCTTGGAAAGGTTTACAAAAAACTTTTTTAGTAAAAGGAACACTCATCCATTGTTGGTGGAATTGCAAACTCATTCAACTTCTATGGAAAACAGTATGGAGATTTCATGAAGAACTAAAAATTGAATTATCATTTTACCTAGCAATCCAACTACTAAGAATCCGCCCAAAGGAAAATAAATCAATATGTAAAAAAGATACTTGTATTCGTATGTTCACTGCAACACTATTCACAATAGCAAAATCATGAATCAACCTAAGTGCCCACCAACAACTGATACGATAACGAAAACATGATATAGCTACACTATGGAATACTATGTAGCTATTAAAAAGAATGAAATTGTGTCCTTTGCAGCAACAGGAATGGACCTAGAAATCACAAGTTTATGTGAATTGACTCAGAAACAGAAAACCAAACGCCGCATGTTCTCACTCATATGTGGGAGCTAAATGTTCACAAAGTGGAAAATAATAGATACTGGGGACACTAAGAAGGGTGGAGGTAAGGAAGGGGTCTCAGATACTACCTACTAGGTACAACGATCACCATTTGAGGAGTGGGCTACCTGAGACCATATCTTTACCAATATACAATATGTCCATGGAACAAACGTCATGTGTACCCTAAACATCATATGTACCCCCTGAATTTAAAAAAAGAAAGCATAAGTAATCCAGAAATAAAATGTGGAATTGCAGAGTAAGTGAAAACAAATTAAAACAACTGTGAATTGAAAGAATAATATAAAATTCTAGAAATTGAAATTATTCCTATGTTTAGAGAGTTGATATTCAAACATAAAAAAATCAATAAAGTTGGGAAGGTATAAAACTTGATGCTGCAGCTAAAAATAGAAGTTTCAGAATTTTTAAAAAGACAATTATGAAATCAATCTTTGTATTTAACTCCACATTTGATAAAATTGAAGTAGAAAATAGCTTATAGGAAGCCAAGTCATAAAAAAATTATATCTTCAGTAAAGCATGGAGGTACAAAAATATAGAAACTATAAATGAAAGAGTGAGTGACTACAGGATAGGATAAGAATATATTATATGTATTTAACTGGAGTCAAAGAAGGGTACACAATTTGAAAAGATAACTATTGGGATACTTTCAGATGTGTGGAAGACATACTCAGTTATCTATCACAGAAACAAAGAACTGAGTACCACATGTACTCACTCATAAGTGGACCCTAAACATATAATACTACAAAAAAGGGATTGGTAGTAAGCAGGACACTGTCAGGGGAGGGAGGAGGGACACATAACATCAATAAGAGTATCTGATTCCAAGCCAGGCGAAATGAGGATCAATGGGGGACCCAAACTTCACCTCTACAGTGGCCACTTATGGACCTAATCCTGAACTGTACCAAACATCTTTAAAATAAAAATTAATTAATTAATTAATTAAAACATAAAAACAATATTGAATTAGTCTGACTTGTCAAACAAATCATATATATAAAAATTATTCTGTTTCATTGGGATTAGTCTTATAACACCCATTCAAACCCGGATACTTTAAAGTATCTAGCAGAGACAAATGTAAAACTTATCTAATTAGCAGGAAAAAAAGATATCAAACTAGTAATTCCAAAAATCAAAAAGTCCAAAGGATAAACTTTTTTAAAGGTAACATATCTACATTATAATGAAAGTACAGAACACTAAAGAAAAAGAGAAGAATCATAAAAAACAACCCCAGGAGGAAAAAAAGTGGCGCACAAAAAAAGTCATACTATGAGCTACATTCTTACTGAAATGGTAAAATAAAAAACAACTTCATGACAATATATAACTCAAAATAAAATAAGCATATTTATGAAACCCAAATTTCTAGAGAAACTACACAAAAAGTGATACATATTTTTTAAAGTGTTATTACATTTAAATAAATGCAGCCTATTATTAAAATTCTTTTTTTTAAATATATTTTTTATTTTAAAATTGTGGGGTATAGTTAAGGGTTGGGTATGCAAATAAGGGTCGTTCAGGTACCCTTGTTGATAAGGGGTATCCCCCCATCCCCAGACAGATATTGACTACCATTAATCCCACCAACCACCCTTACTCTCCCTGTCCCCCCTCCATAGATTCCCACCACTGTCGATCCTTTTCTTATATTATTACGATAGATGTTCAAGGTCCACTTATGAGTGAGCACATGTGATACTCAGATCTTTTTTTCTGTGAGAGATCACTCAGTATTATAGACTCTAGTTCCATCCAGGTTGCTACAAAATTCATGATTTTGTTCTCTTTTTTTGACTGTGTAGTATTCCATCATGTATATGTACCACGTTTTTTTATCCAGTCCTCTTTTGATGGACGGCATGGTTGGT